CTGCAACAACAAATCATTCATTAGTGACGCAAACCTTAACACAATATGTAAATGAGCTGGGAACGTTCATGTACCCAAGTCTAACTATTTACAGACAAATGGATTAGTATATTGTTATTTACACTCTTACGGTTTTACACTACGTCTTAACCCGTAATAGACTTATGATAGAATAAGGGAAAAGGAAGAATGAAAGAACAGAAGATAGGAATGAAATACAATAAAAATATAACTACTGTATCTGGCTATAAGAGTCGTTATAAAAACATTAATTAACTTTACGATATAATACTAATAATTCACAACAAACGACCACATAATAACCTTAACATCATAACAACAAACACAACAAGACGCATTAATCAACGGTACTTAAAATAACCCACAACCTATTTATAATCACAACTTAAAATAATAACCCCAGACCTAACTAACGTTCTATAGCAGCCTAGAGATGTAAGATGCTTCATAGTCTACCCAAACACACGTACAAACAGTCATTATACTCTTACCATACAGCCAGCATCGTAACTCAGAGCTGGACCTTAACACTATGGTTGTCACTTGACGTCTGACCCAAGCGTCTCACTCCACCTCAGCACAACCTTAAACATCTCACACCATCACTATCCCTCATAATCCCTACAACCTAACTAACTACATATACGTAACTATCATTCTATATTAAACTGATAAGATAATAATAAGATATATAAAACACGGTAATAATAGTAATAGATAATAAGAAAATATAAATAGCGGCATGAGACGTGGCACCACTGTAACCCCCACCAAACTACCAGCCGGCAGTTAAACCACCTCGTTCGTATATCCAGAAACACAGGACTCTAACCTAACAAGACCCTAACTACAATGCCAAACACCAGATCAATAATAATTAACTCCCACAGGAATTACAGCACAGACTAGAGTGAATTATTATCGAGTGTTGCTTCAGACTAATATAATCCTACTGAAGAGGATATATACCATCAGACAGCAGGGGTGGTATTGTCATGGTAATGCTTCTCCTCCTCCAGATATCTCAAGTCCTTCTCCAGGGCCTTCAGGAGATACACACGCACACACACACTTCCAGCAATAAGTTTGACCTCCTCCTCCTCCTCCTCCTCTCCATAACTGCCTAACTTCAACTCTGGGACTAATCTCGTTAAAAGGATTTCACCGTTTAAATAACATCCTCACATCTGGCCAACATTATCCGTCAAGTCAGGAAGGACGGGAATCAGTGTTAATTTAAGTGTTCTATGTCTTCAGTGATAAATGGGATAGCCACAGTAATCATCCATACTATCCATCTAGCCATCCATTCAACATCCATCTTTCCATCCACCAACCCAAACTCAGGTATCCAGCCAGTTGACCTCATAGCTAATTGAAGGTGTTTATCCAGGCAGTAGGTCTATTAGCATCCTCACCTGCAGTCACCACCAGCATCTTGCTCTAGTTACAACATGCCACACCTTCCTTTATCCACACTTCCATCCACCCACTACTTCAGTTATCCACCTTTCCACTCACCCATAATTATCTTCAGTTAACTACTTCTCCACCCACCCACTCCTCCGCCCACCCACCGCCCTCTCCACCACCCACCTCCTTTATCCATTTGTCTCTCCGCCCACCACCGCCCTCTCCACCACCCACCCCCCTTTATCCATTCGTCTTTCCGCCCACCCACCGCCCTCTCCACCACCCACCCCTTTATCCATTCGTCTCTCCGCCCACCCACCGCCCTCTCCACCACCCACCACCCCCTTTATCCATTCGTCTCTCCGCCCAAGGGTCGCCTCAGCTGACGCGCCTGACAGCAGCAAGTGGAGAAGCAACATTGGGCGGCTCACATCAGACACAGGATAGGAAACATGAATTGCTGGCTGACGGTGATAAGTTCAGAGCTGTTCCTGTTACCTGCTGCTGACGACGATGATACCGCGCTCCTGCTGCTGTTACTGGTGCTGTTACTGAGGCGCATACAGCATCACCATTACCGCCGCCACCACCACCACCACCACCACCTCCACCACAACAACCACCATCACCTCATACCATTACCATTATTTCATCACACCACAACGCTTCATCACTACCACAACAGCTCACCATCTCACTAAAATTACCATCACCACACCTCACACCACCAGCACTATTACCACACACCACCAGCACTATTACCACACACCATTATCACCGCACACCAGCAGCTCACGTGTGTATCATACGGGTGCGGTGCAGTTTGTCTTCCTCTACTAAATGTAATTCATGATCCCTAAATCGTGTGTAATGGTGAGAGAGAGAGAGAGAGAGAGAGAGAGAGAGAGAGAGAGAGAGTGTGAATGCGTGTGTGTGTGTGGACAATTGTGTCCTTATGTATGTGTGCAGTTATATAAGAAACTTTGTGCTATGAACGTACACTATGTATGTATTTATGTATGTGGCGACCTGTGGTGTAATGGTCAGCATGCTCGCCTCGCAAGCGAGCGGACCCGGGCAGGGTGAAACTGTGGGCAAGTTTCTTTACGCCATTTGCCTCTGTCTACCCAGCAGTAATTGGGAACCTGGATGTTAATCGATTTGCGGATTGTGTTCCGGGCTAATGGTTTAGCCAGTGCAGTTGGCGAGTTGTCCGGGCTTCAAGGACTATTCCTTGACACTGGGTCATGCAGCTCGTTAACTCAGGGTGTGGTTGTTGTGTTGGCGACAGCTTCTACACCTTAAACAAATTCACGCCTAGGAGGCCCTTGGGCCGGCCATCCTCGTTACACAAGGGGCAACCATTATGTATGTATGTATGTATGTATGTATGTATGTATGTATGTATGTATGTATGTACGCCGAGGAGTCCTACGAGAATCCAGGACAATAGGACCATCATCGACCGCCTGACAGGTAATCCTCACTCACGTCAGGTAGTTGGGCAGGTAGGATAGCCTTGATTAACTCTCTGTACGTAATGCTATTCAAGGTATACGAGCGGCGCCTTAATAATGTAATAACTCCTAATAATTATCTTCACATCTCACATAACCAACTTAATTATGTAAATGATATTAATATTACATTTAACTCTATTATTATATTCATATTTAATTAATATTCTAAAGTTGATACAACATTTGAGTTAAATCAATTTTTGGAGAGACTTTCCTTTCAACTGAGAACCATTTTCTCCCGTACCATCACACCTGTCCAATGATTGCTTCAGCTGGGAGACAAGTTTGTGAAATAAATAAAAGTTGTTTGGATTTTGTATACATTATGAATAACGTTTTAACAGTTCGAGTGTGAGAGATTTCTGTCAGTTTCTTTGTGTGTGTTTAACTGACCTGTCCTGTCAGTTTGGGAACACCCTTATCGCGCTATAGAGAAGTTACTTGTTCACCTCTGACAGGAGTCTCTGCCACGTGACAGACTCTTTTGACAGTTTCTTTCTGTCAGTTAACGGCCGTTCTTGGTATCTGCAAGACGATATTATCAGTTATCGCTTCAGATATCTGGCAGACAGTCTTTATTATCAGTCATCTTTCTTGATATCTGGCAGACAATCCCTTAATATCTGGCAGACAGTCTCTTAATATCTGGCAGACAGTCCCATAATATCTGGCAGACAGTCCCATAATATCTGGCAGACAGTCCCTTAATATCTGGCAGACAGTCCCTTAATATCTGGCAGACAGTCCCTTAATATCTGGCAGACAGTCCCTATTGGTCAGACGGCAGAGGAGATCAGAAGGATTTGTCTTATAATGGAGACACGCGACTGAGAGACATACGAGACATGTTCAGGAGGAAGAGGAGGAGGAGGCTGAGGAAGGAGGAGGAGGGAGGAAGAGAAGGAAGAGGAGGAGGAGGAAGGAGGAGGAGGAGGAGGAAGAAGAGGAGGTGGAGGCTGAGGAAGGAGGAGGAGAGAGGAAGGCTAATAAGGAGTAAGAGGAGGAGAGGGAGGAGGCTGGGGAAGGAGGAGGAGGAGGAGGAAGAAGAAACAGTGGCAGGAGACGGAATCAAGAACCTCACCTCTAACCTTTAGGGATGACAAGAAGAAGAAGAAGAAGAAGAAGAAGAAGAAGAAGAAGAAGAAGAAGAAGAAGAAACTAAAAGAAGAAAACAACAGAAGAACCTCCAACAATTCATTCACCACACCTGTACCTGTCAAATAACTACTCAGGGTTTGTTTTCCTCTCAGATAAAGTCTCTGTGTTCCTCTTTGAAGTTCCCCTTAATAATATACTCTTGTTTACCTCAAGTGACAGCTACGCAAATCACCGTACGCGGGCTGTATGGTAAGTCGAATCACCTGAGGATTAGAACCCCCACCACCATCCTTGTTTACAGTGGGGGTGAGGGGGGTAGGGGGGAGACCCGTGTGTTGTTTGAGAGGAGAACAAAGATGAAGGCAACAAACTCCACTCTTGAATATAAGACGGTAGAGAGAGAGAGAGAGAGAGATCACGGCCCTAGATCACACGGGAAAGTCTCTCTCTCTCTCTCTCTCTCTCTCTCTCTCTCTCTCTCTCTCTCTCTCTCTCTCTCTCCTGTATGTTTTTCATCCGGGGTTAATTTTCGTCCACTCTGTGTACTCCGGCAAAGACCATAAAAGCGTGGTAATCGTCCGGCGTGTTTCCGTGTATCAAAGGTGGGGGATACAAGGCTTTCTTTCTGTGTGTGTGTGTGTGTGTGTGTGTTTGTCTTCATACACACACACACACACACACACACACACACTCAAAAAGTCATGTTTAAACCATCGTCCACAAGAATTAAACCATCATCATCAAGAAGTTAAACCATAGTTATGACTGGCGGATATTTTGTCACCCTTAACATGAAGTATAAGTAAACTTTATGCAGTTATATTTTTTTCATTAAGTAGATTTCACATAAATTTTATATAAAAGTAAATTTCAAATGTAGTTATTATATTGCCAAAAAGTAGAATTCACGTCAGCTTTATATATGAGTAACTTCCATCGAGTTAAATT